CACCATTTCAGGCTGGATGGGCCATTGCCCATCGTTTCTAGACATAACTAGAGTGCGTACGAATAGAATCCAAAATTGGTCTCAGTTTGGTTGTTGTTAAATGAAAGAAAAACTGACTCCATTGTTCAAAGAGGGGTGTTCTTGCAATTTGATGCAGATGGGGTGGGTTCCTAGGTTGCTAACAAGTTGCCCGGTGCTTTGTTTAGAGAGGGATGTGTGCATAATAGTCACAGGTAAGGCTCTCTGACTGCCAAGTGCATTCTTAGAAGAGGGGTGTGTGCATAGCTCAAGCCAAGTGCAGTCCCAGGTTGCTAAGCTGTGCCTCAGATGAGGACTGACTCCGGGAGTTTGGGGTCAGAGGGTTTTCAGCACTTTGATGTTTAAAGACACCGTTAGTTGATCTACTAACATCGAAGCTGTAGTCCATGGCACCAGAACTCATGGTGGAGCCCTGTTTATTGGCACACGCTTTCCTTCCCAGGCACATTATAGCTTTTTCTGTGTAAGAACCTAATACAACCCTCTGCTCCACTTGAGAGGGCAATATCATAAAAAGGTGCCAAATGTGAAAAAATATGGAAATAAACCAGTTAGAGCACTTGTGTGGCTGGGCATGGCGGTGCATGACACCAAGCAACCCGGCATTCAGGAGGCTGAGGCAGGAGAACTGAACTGTGGGTTCCATTCCAGTCTGACTTACATAGATCCTGTCTCCAAAAAGAAATAAGCAAGCCCTGTGTGCTGTCTCATGCCTGGCATCCCAAAACTGAAGAGGTTGAGGCAGTTTGCCATGAGTTCGAGGCTAGCCTTGGCTGCATAGTGAGTGTTAGAGTTAGACCCTTTCTTGAAAAAACAAAAAGGAGCTCTTCCTATAAGCAGCCTGAGGTGACCTGTGAAAATGGTTTGCTACTCTCTTGACCCATAAAACCCTTCAAAATCATGCAAATCAAGAGGTTCCAATCTTCATGTTCACTTTGAGAACACACTTGAAACTGCCCAGGCTATCAAGAGTATGCATATCCAAAAAGCCACCAAGTATCTGAAAGACATCACTTTAAAGAAGCAGTGTGTGCGTCATTGTGGTATAATGGTGGAGTTGGTAGGTGTGCCCAGGACAATCAGTGGGGCTGGACATAGGGTCCGTGGCCCCAAAAGAGTACTGTGTTTTTGCTGCACATGCGTAAAAATGCAGAGAGTAATGTTGAACTTCAGGGTTTAGATGTAGACTCTCTAGTCATTGAGTGTACAGGTGGAAAAAATCACCCAAGATGTGCCGCACACAACTTACAGAGCTCATGGTCACATTAACCCATCCATGAGCTCCCCCGCCACTTCGAAATGATCCTCATTGAAAAGGAGCAAATTGTTCCTAAGCCCGAAGAGGAAGTTGCACAAAAGAAAAAGAAATCCCAGAGGAAACAGAAACTTACGGCCCGGGAATAAATTGAGCATAAAATAAACGCAGATAAAAGTAAAATAAAGAAGGCCGGGCGTGGTGGCCAGCACTTGGGAGGCAGAGGCAGGCCAATCTCTGTGAGTTTGAGGCCAGCCTGGCCTACATGGTGACTCCAGGCCAGCTGGGGCTACAGGGAGACCCTGTCTCAAAAACACCAAATAAATAAATAAATAAATAAATAAATAAAATAAAAAATAAATTAAAAAAAAAGAAAAGAAAAGAAAAGAAAGAAAGGAAAAACCAAACAGGAAAATAAAGTCATTTGCTTGTAACGTGAGAACTGAAGGAAGGAGGCAGGGTGCTTCCTCTTCCATCTCAGATGGCACT